GATGATGCACTTTAGGCAAGATTCAAGTGTGAGTCGTCCGGATAATACAATTTACTTCTTTTTATTTAACCATTTAAAGAATATATTATGCATCAAATGTATAAAGATAATTGTTGTATATTAACAATTTCTTTTTAATTAATAATGTTGATGAGATGATTCATAGAAAATCATATTGTTATTTTTTACCAAATTATTTATGTATATTAAAGAAAATCATATTGTTGTTTTAACCATTTAAAGAATATATTATGCATCAAATGTATAAAGATGATTGTTTTAACCAAATTATTTAACCATTTAAAGAATATATTATGCATCAAATGTATAAAGATGATTGTTGTATATTAACAAATTCTTTTTAATTAACAATGCTGATGAGATGATTCATAGAAAATCATATTGTTGTTTTTTACCAAATTATTTAAGTATATTAAAGAAATATGTAGAATATCAAATAAAACATATATATACTACTATCCTGTGAGGATTTGACTTTTATCTTTTTAAGGAAAAAAAATATAACCTTATGAAATTTATTCATATTTTGCTATATCAAACACAATTCGTCAATTTATTTGCCTTGTTAAAAACGTCAACGAATATATTAAACAAACGGTTTAATTAATATTTGAATTCTAATTGATATATTTGTACGATATTGTTCTGAATATTTTTTTGCCGTCCTTAATATAATAATAAACGAGGTCATGATACATGCATTATAAATTACATGAAATTAAGTTTATATTCTTTCGAAACAAAAAACTAATTAAGAATTCCATTGACTTCACCAAAATTCTTTCTATATAAAGGGTTACCCCACCCCTACCCTACAACCACTCAGATCTTCTCCGAATACAAAAACAAAAACACCTGAAAACCAAAAATCAAAAACCATAAACATGATATGTTTGGTATATGACGGCTATGGAGTTTCCACAACCACCCTTGTGTTCATCACTTGCATTTGGGTCCCGTTTCTTCAAGCCAAACATGTATTTTTTGAAATCTTATCGACCTTGATGATGATCTTTCCCCAACATGATCATTATCATCAGCTTCATGATGATAATGATGATGATCATCATCATCATCATCATGATGATCATCATCATGGAAACCTTTGGAAGATCATTTCAAATGCCTACGATCTTTCAACTCTTCAATTTCGTGACATTGCTATCGAAGTCAGTGGAACCACTAGAAGAGAGGTGGACGACACCTGCTCCATTTGCTTGGCTGAGTTCAAGGACGAGGATGCAGTGAGTCAACTCAACCGGTGTTGTCATGTATTCCATACATGTTGCATAGAGAGATGGTTAACTCGTGACAACTTCACATGCCCACTTTGTAGATCTAACTTGTTGCATTAAAAAAAAAAAAAAAAAAAAAAAAAGACGAGTTATGCAGTATAAGTTAATTACGGATTCTAAAGATTCAAAATACAGATGGATATATCGATTGTGTAGCCCGAACTAGTATTGTATTTCAGAGGCTACGATTTAATTTGAATTTCAGTTTTGTTAAAGTTATAATTTTTGAAGCACAGGTGTTGATCGATTGTTATTTTGACTTTAGTTGTCATTAAAAATTCATTATATATATCTAAGTATCTATCACTAAACAAAAAGATTGAATTATATTTTTGATTGCACTTATCTCTTTGATATTTTCCAACGCACATGAGGATATCCCTTAAAAGTATAGGAAATTATGGAAATATAAACCAAATGATATATATACCAAAAAAACTATTTGATTTTGACAAAAGTGGTCATCGGATTAGTTTAACCTTTAATTTATTTATTTATGAAAATAACTATTAGCATTATACTTATATTGTTAGTAAGAAACTAGTATTCCCCTCCCCTCTCATGTTGCAGAGACATCAATTCATTTTGTAAGTTGAATTTTGATAATCGTATCAGTATTCTAAAAGGCGCGCTATAACGTGAGGCGTAACTTCGCAGTTACAAAAAACTTCATAATATTGTTGTTAGGCGTGGTGTGTGTCAATGCGTGATATAGCATGTTATGACACGTGTTTTTTCGTTTGATACACGTAATTTTGCTCTTTGTTATGTCTTTTCAAATCGGGGATACAACTATTATGTTTTTTGTTAATTTTTTATTATTAGTCAATAACGCTTCTAAAAACTAGTTATATTTGATATAAACTTATATTTATGTGGTAATATAATTATACATTAATATAAAATCCTCCCCTTACATCACGTATTGAAAAACTTCATGGCTCGTCATGACTCGTAAAGTTTAAGGTTTGGTCTTGTCGCCATGCCACGCCTCACGCCTTTAGAACCTTGGATTATATTTGATAAAAAGTAGGCAATGTTGCATTTTTTGGTATAAATATAGAAAGTTGTTACCACTGTATAACTCCAAGTTATATTGTCTAATGAAAATGTATTGTATGTGATCTTGGCTAATATGTAGAAAACGTACATAAAAATAAATATGAAAATGTACATAAATTTTATCAAACTTGAATTTACTCAAACACGTATATAAAAATAAGTACTTAATATTATTTTAAGTTAATAAGCGGAAGTTCAAATAATTGAAAATGTATTATATGTGACATCATTCATACGTAGGAATCGTACATAAAAATAAGAACGAAAGCGTAAAAAATATTTACGTCGAAAAGTAGATAAACTCGAATTTATACTGACAGGTATATAAAAAACCAAATAATTAAAAAAAAAAAAAAAAAAAAAAAAAAAAAAAAAAAGATTAACGAAAGAAAGTTCTAAATTTACGTCAAAACATTGAACTCCTTGAATTTATACAAATACATACATAAAAATAAGAACGTAATAAATTTTTTTTTTTTAAGTTAACAAACGAAAGTCATTAAGAAAACTCAGATTATATATATTATGAGCAGTGAATACAAAAGTTTAGAGAGTTGTAAAAGTGATATTTTACAAAATTTAAAATCAAAACATTCAAAGTGATATTTTACAGAGTTGAAGGATGGTAATTGTAGACGAATGAAGTAAACACTAATGTTTAGAAAGTCTAGGTGGTGAAAATAACATTTTACAAAGTTCAAAATCAATGGGAGAGAGAAGGGGGGGGGGGGTCAAAGTGACATTTTACTGGGGTAAACATGAAATTCTAGAAAATTGAGGGGGTAAAAATAATATTTTAGGGAATTTACATTTCAGATGATGAAAATGACATTTTACAAAATAGAATGATAGAAAGTATTATTTTACAAAGTAGAGAGGTTGAAAAAGTCACCAAATACATATTCTTTCACAAAAACAATGACAAAAAATGACAATAATCAAAACTCAAATATTAAAGGCAGACACAAAGAAATGCACTCACACTTCAATTTAGTATATGAGCAACGGGCCGAACCGGCAGGAAGACCGAAACCCGAAACCCAAAATCCTTGAATTACCTTAACCAGAAATCAAATCGGTTTGGGGTATGCCAGTTCTAGTTCTGTTTCGGGCCCCGAGCCGGGTTTCGGTTTTTAGACTGGATTAGACTATTGTTAACCTAAACAACATGCATTATAAAAAATGTATACTTAGTTATTATTAAAAAAAAAAAAAAAAAAAACGTATATTTTTTTTAAAAAAACACTACATAATTTAACAAAAAAACTACATGTTTTAGAAAAAAAATTAGACATTTTATAAAAAAAAGTTGCACTTGTTATTAAAAAAACTGCACGTTTTATAAAAAAAATTGCACGATTTATTAAAAAAAAAAAAGTACACATTTTATATATAAAAAAAACAGCACTTTTTATAAACTATATTTTTTTATATATAAAAAATAGCTTTTATTTGTAAAAAACAGCAAAAAAAATTTTTTGCTTTTAACTTCATATTTAAAAAGCAAATCCAAAAAAAATGTGAATAAATTGGAAATGTTGTTGTCATGTCGATTAAAAAAAAATACTTCCAGGTGCGGTGCAAGTAAAAACGTTTATTCCGGGTTCGGTCCAGTCCAAACCTAAAAACTGATTTTTGTTAAAAATTAAAACCGAAAACCAGTCCAATTATATGTATTTCCAGTTCGAGCCTGGTTTTTTTTTCGATCTGGTCCAACGGATCGTACGCTCATCCATGTATAATATAATGGCAAATGCATGGTTGACTAGTTAACTAGAACGAATTTTTGAATGAACCGATCCTATGAACTAGTCAGCAGGTTGAGGATAATATTTGCGGCTAGTTTAGACTTTCAAATTGGTCAATGTACACTTTTATTTTCAAGACGGGAACATTGGCACTTCCTCCCTCCTACAACTTGCATCATATTAAGGCCTTTACGGTCTTAAATTGTTTGTCTTGTTTGCACTTTAAACATGTCCTTAAGTGGGTTGACCATGTCACATGCATCAAGATGTTCTAAGTTCTTTTGGAGCTCAAGAATTATGATCACTAATATGAAGCAAACCACCTCATTTGAGTCATTGAGACATTTTTCTCGATCGTCCTAATAGACCTAATTAGAGTAGCCTCACGAATTATTTTGTTCGACACAAAGCTTCTTATGAAACTTGAGGTCAAGAATTGGTTCATCATTGACACAAAGCTTCTTATGAAACGGTAACCCATTAACCATGGAGATTCATCTTGGAGGCAAGTTTATGAGCTATTATCGAAAAAAAAAAAATACATCACTTAATGGTAAAGTAAAATTCGTAGATTTATTAGATATTGAGGTGTTCTCTATTAATGAAATAGATGCAATCATGTAAGAGTTACCATATCGAGAAGAAACCCACGCCACTATAAGATATTTATGCATCAAATTTTACATATTCATAAAATGACATAGATCTATGCTCGTGATAGAATATACCAAAAAACATACTATAAATTTTCTTTGCTAAAATTGTTTTAATTTAGAAGAAAGGAAAACTTAACTTTTTTACAAGTCATAAGCTAAAATTCATCCGAATCTTGATATACAAAACTATCTTATATTAAATATACATGTTTACACTACCCGATTATATAGAAAATATATACATAATTATAAACATTTGATAAAATTACAAGCTCACAATACAATGATCATTTGCTAGTAAGAAAGGCATGGCTCGTGTTGTTTTAAAGTGTTTTCATATTTTTTTTCAGCGAGGCATTTTAACTAACAGAAATATACTATTTTCTTTTGTTTTATTTTTCTCAACACATTCATTAAACTATATATATGCCATATAAAATGTTATATGAAATATAAAGTGAGAAAGCATAATGGATATAATAATGAAGTGAAGGAGGTCAACACTCAACAAACTTGCCCATGCTTAAAGCAAATGTTAGTTTGGTTTGGTGATTGCACACAAAATTTGTGATCCATCCAGAGAGAGTTTTAAAGCAAAAGCAATAAAGGCTACAAAAGCAAAGGAAATCAAAGTCCAAAAATATCACACACACACACACACAAAGTAATATCAGTGCAAAAAGAAAAAAGACAAAAAATCGAAATGAAAAATTTAGCAAATATGGGGAGTGGTGTATCAGCATCAGTGGATGAGAACGATGATGAAGATATTTCAAAATCAGCTTTTGCGTCATTTCAAGCAAGAGAAGAAGAAATCGAGAAAATGAAAATGCAAGTCAAGGAAAAAGTTGAAATGAAATTAGGCCAAGCTGAAGAACAAACCAGGCGCTTAGCTCAAGTTTGGGAAGTAAGAAGCTAAGCCCCACAAAAACTTTTTAACATCACATTTTTTATAAAGTTCTAATGTTATTTTTGGCATTATTTATATACATTAAAGATTTTTTTTTTTTTTTTTAATTTGTAAAATGAAATGTATCAGGAGCTTGAAGTTTTGACAGATCCAATGAGGAAAGAAGTAGCATCGGTCCGAAAGAAGATAGATGTGGCTAACCGTGAGGTCAGATCGCTCGGGCAAAGCTGCCAGAAGAAGGTATGGCTGCCCGACTGCCCGCCCGCCCACCTTCTTTCATATATCTGGTAAAAAGTTATTAATATTGATTTATAATTGGACATGAAAACAGGAGAAAGAGTATAAAGAAGCATTGGATGCATTTCATCAAAAGAATAACGAAAAAAACCAACTAACTGCCACGTTAGTTGAGGTAATTAATTTTTCTTCATATTTTAATTTTATTTGATGATTGATGAATAATGTTGTTTTCTTCATAATTTCAGTTGGTGAAAGAAAGTGAGAATGTGAGGATGAAGAAACTTGAGGAGCTCAGCAAGAACATTGATCCTTCATGCTGATTATATATTGTTATATTATTATATGGATCCACTTACAAAAGTTTTTTTCTTTTTTTGTTTCAACTTTAATGTTATGTGTTGTATGTTTGATTATGCTTTGCTTCTCATAAATGATTCATTTGTAATTTTCAATTACAGAATTTTTCTTCATATAATTACTTATTCACATATCGTGCAAACATGAAAACATAAGCAAGTTAGAATTCAAATTGGGTTACATGCAAGAAACAGCGTTTATTATAAAATCCCACTTTTCTTTCTTCCTATTACAACATTCTACTTTAAAAATCTACCCAATTATAGTAATTTTCACTACTATAATTGTATATACTTTTCACAATATAAGTGGGTATATTTCAAAGTATATCGCTTTAGAAAAAAGAAATGTCAAAAAGTAAAATGTTGTAATACAAAGAAATAAAAGTATGATGCTATAATAACACACAAATAAATGAAAGTGCATTGCTATTTCTTGCATTGAAATCAATTCACTGGACAAACATATAATGTGCATTCATTCATATGAGAAGAAATGAGAATTCCAGTTCAAAAACTACCAAGGGTAGAAAAGGAAACTCACAATACAATTTGGATAATTCTTCTTCTATACAGATGATCCCTCAACATCATTCATTAATCCAATGGAAGCTGTTTGTACTCTGTCAACAGATTCGGTATATCACTCATGCGTAACTGAACATTAAAAAGACACATGTTATTTACAAAATAAAAACCAACAAAAAATAAACGCATCATAAAAAAAACATTACCTGAGAAGCATTTGTAATATGATAAAAGCGATAGGCATCTTTCTCATTCTCAGACTGTAAATTTAATCCAACCTTTGATCTGCCATAATTGAAGAAGTAAGTTTCACTTATAAAGTTATAATAAGTTATAATCCAAAGTAAGATGATATAATAAACAAATCAATGAAGATGTAAAATCTTACAAGTAATGGCGAGTAATCAGACGTTTGTAGTCGCGCAATAAGGGGTTAAGCTCCTTCAGAGGTATTGCTTTTGGGGAAGAGTTTCGCCAATGTTCACGGAGTGCATCAACAGCCTGTAGTAATTAGTATATATAATAATATAATATATTCCAGTCACATATGACAAAAAGAGAAGTAAAAATCTAAATAAAGATATCTGACCTGTTTATTATTAAATGATTTATTTCCATTTATCCTTGATGCTAGTTCAAGAAATTCTTTATCTTCTGACTCATGAACAATTTGAAGATTATGACCAGAAGAAAACGAAACAGAAATATTCAGTCTCTTTTGCAGCTCCAAGATAGCCGACCCTTCCATGTCATTTTCCTGAAACCATGTTTTACATATGAATGGGTTTGTATTATTCATAAACAAAAGGGTAAAACGGTAATTTTTTGTCTCGTACAAAGAAATACATTATTACCCATTCAGCCACTTTACTTACAAGTACATAATCGTTTTTTGGACCACTAAATTTGTTTTTATGTGTGCATTTTCGTAAAATAGTGGACTTTGATGACTAATTGAATACAAAAAAAATGATTAGGGACTAAATGGGTCAAAAAGTGAAAGTTTGTTGCTGTACTGAATACTGATAGTGATACCTTTGTTTCAGATTGGAAGTCATTGCGGGTGTCATGAATTACTTCTGATCGCTTTGAAATAGGATCATCTAAGATTTAATAAATAAAATTCATGTGAATGAGATAAACTAAAACTCTATGGATTATGGATAATTTGAAAATATGAAAAAGTAATAAATAAATATTAAATACCTTCAGGAACTAACCACCATAGATCACCAAATGTGAGTTTTCCATCAAAGCCACCAAATAATAGATAACGTGAGCCAATACATGTCATGGAGTGGTAAGCACGTGCAGCAGGAGCTTCAGTATTAGTTGCAAGGCGTTTCCACTGCACAGACACTGATAATAAAAAAAACATAAACTATTTTTTTTTTAATATTATATGAAAATCAAAAATGATCGACTCACCTCTGTCTAAAACAACACAGTCATTGTAGTAAACATCATAGCGACTCAACCAACCACCGGTTCCATGGCCTCCAAACATGAGAAGCTGAAAAATATATAATTTTTTTAAATAATAAAAATAATGTTGATAAAAGTTTAAATTTGAAGAAAAGGAGACTAACATAGTGGCCTCCAGAGGTGACAGTGTGCCCACATCGGGCAGCTGGAGCTTGCCCGGGCAGCTTTAACTGTGTCCATCCAGGAGCTTCGTTATCTTCCTTACACAAACAATTCAAACAGATACTTCGTTAGTAGTAAGACAATATAGTTTTACGGGAAATAAGGGTAAAATGGTCATTTAGTCTCGTTCAAAAGGTTTATTCAGTCTAGAACAGTAACAGACTTTATGTATATAGCATTTTATCCAAACATCATTGCCCATACAAGACATAGTGAGGGGAAAGGAAATACCTTCTTCAATGAGACCCTTTAAAGCCCATAAATCACCCATGATTGGTCCTCCACCTCCTGCCAATTGCCAAAAGATCAATTGAATGATTAGAATCATTATTAAATAATTAAATATTATGAAAAAGAATAGAATAAAAATAAATAAATAAAGTTGAGGTCACCTCTGCCACCATATACAAGCAACCGTTTCTCAACCATGGTGGCTGTATGACCACACCTTGGTGGTGGCAATGTTCCTGTAACTGCTAACTCTCTCCACTCCAATGACACTATTTAAGAAACATAAAACATAAAGATAATATTCATCATCATAATAGTAAAAACATAAATAAAAGTAAAAGGGTAAGATTTTTAAGGCAAAAACATTACTTGTATCCAAGACAAATACATCAGATAACCACTTTTTACCATCCCATCCACCATACCTACAATAAGCATGTAAGTATGTAACTGATGTAAGTCCCATTATTATTAAGGTATGTATGTAAATATGGAGTAACAAATAGGGAATAATGGTGTGTAGCAATTCTGACATTACGATTTTATGGTTCCCAATGGCTGAAGCAGCAGCAAAATCTCTTGGAGAAGGTAAATCACCAAAGCTGGTAAGTTCAGACCATTGCCATATATCTGGACATGGAATTCAATGTGAATGAAGTATGCATCTTGATCTTTGGTGAAAAGTGAGTTGGAACTTGGAATTAATAGTTAAAATAAGTTTATAGTTAATAAATTACCAGTATCTAAGACCCAAAAGTCTCCCAATCTGCATGTTCAAGTATTTTTGTCAGTAATTTGTGAGTAACAGTAAAGAAATTGGTAGAAAACACTGGTGATTTTTTATTTTTTTAGTTTTTGTAATGGCCTAAAAAGACTATTGTAACCTTTTGGTACCAAGTCGCCCACCAAAAACAAACATGTGGCAGTCGATTGCAATGGCAATATGAAATGCTCGAGGACTGGGCCCCGTTTGGCCATCTGAACCACTACCTGTGCACTGAGGCTGAAACCATAACTTATTCTCTGAAACATTAAAAAGGAGGAAACTTATTACTTGAGGAAGATCTGAATAATGTCTATTGGCTTAGAAACTAGCAATACTTGTTGGTTGCATAAATGAGAAGGTTATATTCACTTCCATACAAGAGGAATTATGTTCCATTGATTGCTAAAGAAGAACAAGATTCAATCTTTTCAATGACTGATCAGCATATGTTTGGGAAGTAAAGTTCCAAATTGTAATATGATCCAATGAATTTCAAAACTTAATCTTCAATTGTTGAGGCTCATAAAACAATGAACATATGAATATTACTAGATATTGATAGGGTTTAACAACGAGCATACGAATATTACTAAAATCCATAAGTAAATTCGTTTCACATTTGTATATCTTTATCTCCTTTTTACTTTTTTCCTTGTATATTGCTAGAATACATGAATGAAAGGGCTATTAATATGCCATGAAACAATCAGGCTACGGTCTACATGCAGTTACATAATTTGAAGAACTGATTTACAAATGAGAATTAGAATCAGGCATGATAATAACCACGAGAACCTAACACTGACAATTAATGAACTGACTATATCTGAAATTTCGTTAATTACTGGATGATAAAATCATAATCAAAGAAGTAGATACCGATGTCGTATACAGAGATGTCATCGAGGAAATTCTTATCGACAAGACCACCAAACACTACGATCTTAGACTTTCCAATATTGACTGCGGTGTGGCCACTGCAATAATGATCAATTTACACGATTCATTTCCAAAATTCCATCCGATGAAAAACATGCGGCTTTAAGTCAAGTAAATTGGAGAAGAGAACGATTGTTTTACCTCCGAGGAGTGGGAAGAGGTCCACCAAAATCGGAGGGTGAAGCTCGAACCCAGTGATGCATTGCTGTCTCTCTCCCCCTCTCTCTCAGATCCGAAACTATTCAATCGGAGCTTTAACCGCATAACTAAACCGGGCTTTATACAAGACCGTGTCGTATGAAACCTGAAAAATGTGATTTTAAGTTTTTAACATACCAATCAGTTTTCTAATATTACGATAGATTTTTTAAGTAATCTAACCATAAAAACTTATTGTATTTGAAAAAAATAATAATAATAATTTGTAAAACAACTAATTTCTTTGGAATATGGTATTTCATATTTCAAAATATTATTTATGACGTTTTCAGAGTTATAGACTTAAGGATTTAAAGTGTAAATATTTGAAAGTCAAAACTTTTAGGATAATTACTCCTAAGAGTTCATAAACCATTCCCTATAAACACAGAGGCATGTGACTGTTATCGATGAGTTTTTCACTAAAAAAATCTTTAAAAATTCTTCAACATCTTTTCATTCCAGAAACCCTAGAGAAATCTTGATTACGCGGCGTGTCCGTAGCGAATCCAGATTCTATGTTATGCGCTCATGGTGTTTGCTATTTGGGTTAAGTCAATTGTTTTCGGTCTATTTCTTGGGTGAGATCTGGGAAAAGAGTTCTAAGTTGGACTCTTAGTAATTCTCTCTAATCAAAATCTAGATGATGTTCAAAGAACTACAAGCATATGGTTTCGTTATTCCTTCATGTTTATTTTGTTGCAATTAATTGGTTGAACTTGGATTCAACTATTTATTATAAGGTTAATTTTGTATCGCTTCTTATGTATGCTTTTGTGGCCTTTAGATCATTCATAACCCAATAGTGGTATCAAAGTCACTTGTTAACATATATTGCACTTAGATTTTTGTTATGTCCGTTTTAACGAATTTTCGTGTTAGTAGTTTGAGTAGATCAAACTGTAAAAGGGTTTAAATTCTTTTAATTGGCTTTGATTTATGTGGAAAAATGAATTATGGGTAGGTTTTTGTTTTTATGGTTACGTAGTGTGTAACCAACGTAATGTCAAAAACCTTAATCGCATATCGTGAAGCGATTATTGAGTTGTGGAGATGATAATGTGCAGTGGGGCATGACTCATAGGCTCACTTACGCATTGTATTGGTCACTCTTCAAAGAAGTTTGCTTTTCATTTTTCTAGTATGTT